AGGCTCATATATTAATGTCAAGGATGAATTAAGGTTTAGAAGTTATCAGCATGTGAGTCATAATTAAAACCACAAGAGAAGGCAAAATCATATAAGCAGAGAGCTCAGTATGGAACCCTAGGGCACCTCAAGGTTAAGCAATTGGCAGAAGAGTAAGCACTCACGAGAAGATGGAAAAGGAAAGTTCCTGCAGAGAAAAGGAGGAAGGGAGTCACAGAAACCAAGAGAACAGAGAGTTTAAAGACTGAATGAGAGAACAGTCCAACAAATCCAACAGAAAGCACCATTGATATACAGACTGGGTTCAGCATTCATTAGGAAAAGCAGCATGAAGGCCACAGGTAACCATTAGAGCAAAAACTACTGGTGCCTTGCCCATAACCCCTTGCCCATACCACTCTTGTGCTCAGCCCCACTTCCAGGTGCCAGCACTTGCCTTTCTTTTCCTGAGGGTTTGTATCTTGCTGCTGCAGCCCACTTTGCCATCTCCTTAACAAGCTAGATGTGTCAAAGAAGGAATGCCCCCACCCTTGAAGCAGCATTGGCTAACTAACGACTGACAAGAACTGGTGTATAAATATCCCAGTTCCTCCAGCCCTCTGGTGAGATAACTGACACACATGTCTACACTGTTCCCCAGGGGTCCTTGGCAGGACTAAGCTCCAGGAACCCGTGGTGAGAATTGGTTAATGTCTTTTTAAAAATTGGCTCTTTCCCTCCCTTGTCTTGCTTCCCACATTTCTCCAGTGTCCCCTTCACCTCCCAAATAAACTTCTTGCCCTTGCATTGTTACTTCTGGAGGAATCTGCACAAGAGGAATTCCAGGGGCAGGGGGTGCTAAGGGAAGAAATTAGAACGCAATGAATTGAAGAGCAAATGGGATTTGAGGAAGTAAAGATGATGAGTTTACACTATTGTTTTTAAAATTTGTCTAAGGTAGAGAGAAAAGAGGATAGGGCCAGACGTGAACACACAGTCAATATGAGAGAGCAAAACATGTCAAAATGCTAATGAGAAAGAGACAAGATACAAAGGCTGAAGTGGTTAGGGAGGTTGCTAAGTTGTACAGCAAGACCCCAAAGGAGATAAGAGGTTGGAAGATCACAGGGAGGGATGGGGAACTGGCCTCATCAGCGAATAAATGCTTCATCCTCTGAGGCTGAGGGGAAGGATTTAAAGACAGATGCATATTCTGATGAATGTGTGGGTGCTGGTGGAGCCAAGACTGTCTGGGGAGTAGCTGGGATTCATCCATTTTTGGTGGCACCAACCCACCAGGCTATAAAGCTTTTCCCAAACTGTGCTCAGCAGCTCTATGCACACATGACCATCCTCAGCAGCTGGAAAACCAATGCAGGCAGGTGGTGAGCTTGATCTAGAATCAGGGATTTATAAAACGAGTGTTGAAGGAGAATGAGAGACAATTGGGTTAAGGCTATCAGAGAAGGCGTAGTTAACCATGTAGTCTGGACCAGGTAGGACCTGTGACCAGACAGAGGTTGTCACACTCCAAAACAACACACAGCTCCCAGGACTGGAAGCCTCTCTGGCTAACCTAGGCCTCTGCAAAAGCATCTGCTCTGCATAAGCATTGTGCTATAGGGACCACCAGGATGTATAAAGGCCTGCTCCCAGATAGGAAAGACGGTGTGCCACAGGTAGGGCAAAATTCAAGAGTTCAGTCACCCAAAATAATAAAAGCAGTAATGCAACCTGAGACACAGGCAGCACACGAGCCTGAACAGAAAGCAAAGAGCTCAGACTTTTTCTCTAGCTCTGCTGTTTCCTGGAAAATCAGAGTCTGCCAGGCTGCTTGTGTGCAGGGCTCAATTTAATAATATAAAACATGCTGTATAGAAAAAAATGAGTCAAAGGCACACACAGCACTTCCGAATATATGTGACTGATTGACTCCAAATTAACCACCCACAGCCATGGTGGTTTTCAAAGAACCACAGATCCCCACCTCCCAAAAGCAGAATACTAAAACCAAAAGAGGCCCAGGACGTACCTGTTAAACCCAAAGGCAAGGACAACCTTGTGAATTCCTAAAATCTTAGAATTGAGAGGACAGAATAAACTAAGAGGGAGATGCCACTGTTACCTCCTATCAAATATTAAGAATGCTACCATGTTTAATCAGGACGCTGCAACCATACAATCGGTTTCTAATATTACATCATTCTCTGGTTTTTGAGAAGACCTATCCAAAGGAGTTATTAAGAACTCAATTAGGCCTTTGCCAAAATTATTTAACCTCTACAAGCAATACTTCAGAAATAGCACTGTTTCAGAAAGCAAGTTGGCTTCAGAAAATCTTTTTTATCCTTTCTTCATGTGCAAGTTAGTAGCTCTGCTTAAGAGCAAGTATTTCCTATCAACCTGCCTCCCACTCCTTCGATTCAAAATAGTCAATCAGTATCAATAAAAGAAATAGACAATATGACGAAGAAGTGGCTCCAATATATTACCTGAAGACCTTTGGGAATCTAAGAAGGAAAAATGAATATCTCAAGTAGGACTCCGATAGTGCATAAGTGAAGTCATGGGACATTATGAATGAAGCCTTTCAGATCCTCTGTTCCCAGGTAAGGGACAATGGCTAAGAAGGTAATAACAGCCTGTGGAGGCACCTTCTCTGATATCCACTGAGATTAGTTAACTGAGGGAGTCAAAGCACGCCAGCACTAGGATACCTCCTGAATTTAGGTGAATACACTGAGCAAGGTTAGGTCCAGACAAATCTGTGAGTATGGTGAAGTTTGCTTTCATTGTCTTCTAACTCCTTTCCGTGTCCTGATTGAACTCCAGCCACCCAAAGCCACCACCATAGGTGACATGCCTTTTATACAACTAATTTCCTCTGTTTTCTAACTACTTCCATATATCAATACTTACCTCTCCTAGGACCCTTCTACTCATGCTCCTTAAGAGGGTCTCAGTTAATGACTAGGTAACCTGTCATACAACTTGCTGTTAAAGTTTTAGTGAGTAGTTACTTCCTTCACAAATTAAACTTGCCTAATCTTGTGCCTTTTTAATGCTTTCACTTTTGGTACCATAAATTTGTCACTTTCCACATTTCTTTACCTCACATCACAAATAATCTGGATTATTCATTTATGGGTTGTTTAGGTCAGCACTGATCATTGTGTAGTCTGTGTACTGTCTACATAACTGTACCTTGAGGGGAGGGGGTGGTGAATTCTTACTAAAAAGGCAGATGCCCAGGCCTTAGTGGTGACCCAAAAACCATATTCTCTAGGGGCATCTTTAACATTCTCCCCCATTGACTTTTCTTCCTCCTAAATCAGTAAACATCATGTGATACCTACACACAGTAGATGCTACAGAAGTGCTGGGTATCAGAATACAATTAACACCAACTTATAAACAGGTTCACTTCCAAATAATAAAAGCTTTAAAAAGTTGGCATGCTGATATACCTTCACAACAGTAAATAAATAAATAAATAAAAATAAATTTAAAAATTGGTCAGGCATGTGAGTGTTGGGGCAAGAATTTAGGGGGAATCTCTGTACCTTCCCCTTAATTTTGCTGTGAACCTAAAACTGCTAAAAAAAAAAAAAAAAAAAAAAAAAGAAAGAAAAAGAAAAGAAACAAAACAAAAAGAAAAGAAAGAAAAAAACCTAGCCTACTAAGATAGGGTAGGTGAACATGTTCATTCCTGGCCCTCTTTTTGTCTCTACATGACTCACCTTGCTTTTGCCGTCTACTTATCTTATCCTAATGTCCCTTGTAAAGCCCCAAACTCCTGCTTATGGTTTTCATGGTCCCATGTACATGCATATTACGAAAACATTACGGCACTGATCCATACACGATGACACCTATTCTCTTATATGGTCCTGGTGAATCTCAAATAACACAGCTTCCTCGCTGCCATATTCCCTTCCCCCAGCACATCAAATGGAACTTTACAAGTATACAATAGGATTTGTTGAGTAAGTGAATGAGTGAATGAATGAATGGTATTGCTACTGAGATTGACATGAGATGAAGTGTGTTGGGAGGATGGATGGGTCCAATGGATTACCCTCTCCTTTTACATATAAGGATATTGATTAGAGTTACCATTCCTTATCTCCCTGAGGCACAGGCATTCAGGAACTCATTTATTCAATCTGTTACCATGGTCTATAATCTCAATTGATAGATTAACAACTTCCAGTCCTATTAAACAAAGGAAGCAATGGCCACAGCCACCCAAAGTATGCACCAATAGCATCTAGGAGGAAACCAGAAGCCACACTAGGTATTTCAACCAGAGGGGATTTAATGGAGGGAGTTGTTTACACAGGTTGGGTAATAAGGCTGAAAAGGGCCGTGGAGACAGCCCGGTGTTAGTAAACACAGGAAGCAGCTACTAACCTTAGGGCTGGGGAACAAAAGGGAAGAGATGGTGTTACCAGAACCTAGAAGCTTTGACGGGGGACCCCCCACGACTGGCGCCTGGCCCTCTGACGGGGCTGCTGCGCTGCTGTTGCTTGGACTTCTGAGGGGGACGCTGCTTGGCTGGCGGTGGTCGGACCTCTGGGCGGGGGCGTGGCTGACGCTCAGACCTCGGAGGGGACCGTGGCTGACGCTCAGACCTCGGAGGGGACCGTGGCTGACGCTCAGACCTCGGAGGGGACCGTGGCTTGGCTGGCGCTCTGACCACCGCGGGGGGCGCAGCTGGCTGTTTCTTGGGCTTCTGAGGGGACGTGGCACGGCGCCTGGTTCTGAGAGGGCCAAAAGAAGCTGGAGGCGGGAGCCAGGGCTCTCCTCGGCTGCTTAAGCGACGCTGGCAGGAGCTGGAAACAGGTAGGAAGGCCCTGCTCCCCCACCCACCTTCCAGTCTCCCTGGAGTGCCTTCCGGTGTCGGAGCCTAACCCGGAGCCGACTGGGGGGAAGAGTAGGGTGCGGAGCGGGAGGGGCGTGCCCGGAGCCGAGACCACTCGCTGTGCCCAGCCGTGCCGCGGGGCTGGGCGACCGCTCACCTGGTCTTTTGGCAGGCGCAGCAGATCCAGTCCTCCTCTTTCTTCTGGTAGAAGCAGCCGCTCTTACAGATGCTGTATTTCCGATCCACTATCTCCTTCTTGGAATTGAGGAAGGTGAACGGCGGGCAGCAGTGTATGCTGAAGTGCTCGGAGTACTTCTGGTTTTTGGAGAGTCTGGGACCCTCCTTGGCCGTTTTCTGACTCATCTCACTGGAAATCACCGATGCAAGGAGACAGAAAGAGACATAAAAGCACATCAGGCAAGGGAGCCCTCTACTCAGGAAGCCCCCTGCTACTCCCAAGGTAACATTCAGGGTGGTCCTACAGAGCAAAACCCTGGAAGAGCAACTTTCCCCCAACTCCATGGAAAGGAACTCTACTAAGAGTTCATTAATTTTCATTTGTGTATTTTTTAAAATCCTGTTTTCAAGGAGAGAAAGAAACATGGGCTCTTGTTTTCCTTATGTTTTAGAGACCCATGTAACATAGGAAAACATTTAAAACCAAACATATTCTTGACTAAATAATATTCTAGAGTTAGGAAAAGACTTTTCTCTAAAAAGCAAAAAAACAAAAAAAAAGTTTTTTATTATTATTTATTATTAAAACAATCATCATTCATGCAATAAAATAGTACACAACAAGGAAAAAGAACGAACTGCTGACCTGCTGACATACATCAACACATTTTGATCTCACAGACTTAATGTTGAACAAAAGAAGTCAGACACAAGAAAACAAGCTGTATGATTGATTTTATATGAGGTTCAAGAACGGGCAAAACTAATCGATGGTGCTAGAAATCAGAGCATAGTTATATTTGGAGAAGGTGGGTTCTGACTCAGAAGGGGCAACAGGGGAACTTGCTGGGGACTGAAAACATTCCTTTTAGGAATGTGACAAATGCAGAAATAGTCCTACCTAACACTACGAAACACCGAAGTCCACAGGGGACTTACGTGACTATCAAACAACAAGAATCAACATAGTTAATGGGCATAAACTGGATACCGAGAATGTCTCTGCTCTCAACAAACTCAGAGCCAGGTCGGAGACGCAGATGTGCAGTATGTAATTACAAAACAGTGTTATGGTGACCAATACAATTGTGTACAAAGGTAAAGGAAATCATGGGAAAAGGATGGATTCCTTGAAGACAGAACCTATAATCTGGGTTTTTAAGGATGAGTACAGAAAAAGAACTAAATAACATTGAGGGGATATTTTAATTTTTTCGTCTGTTGGTGTGGTTGTCTTCTGCTACAAATAGAAATGACAGCTGAGAAGCAGGTAGAATGCAGTTACAAATACATCGCTTTTGCATCTCTGTGATCATCCAAATTGTGTGTCACATCTGTTATGGATGTTAAAAATATTCTTTCCCAATATCTCACTTGATTTTATCACGCAAAAATAATTAGTTTTATGTTTAAGTATCTTAGATCTTATCAAAGGTTTTATATTTTTCCCAGAAAGTTTTCCCCACTCCATCAGCTTTTAACATACTCATATGCCCCATTTTAAATGAAAATCCTCTCTGGATCCTGCTCCCATGTCTTTTTGCTTCCCTGTTACCCTCCTCTTTTGTATAGGCAAAGTTCTTGAACAGTTATTAATACTTTTCCCCTCCATCTTTGCATCTCCCCCTCACTCACTCATCAGTGTACCCACTGTGGCTCCTGGTCCTTTCCTCCCAAGGAAAAATGACTCTACATAGCTCCCCAGAGACCTCCATGGTGCTAAACCAGTTGTCTTCATATTTGGTCTCCATCTAAACTCTTTCCTTTCCTGTGATACCACATTATCTTAGATCTCCTCCTCTATCTCTAGTCTCTCCTTGTCTATTTCTCTTATAGGCTCATCTGCTTTTGCCAAACCTTTCATTTTTTTAACCCTAAACTTTTAACGTTGGAGTTATTTAAGGTGTAATAAATACTAAATGATAAATGAAGTTAACTTTGCCCATTTAATTTAATATTTATTATACACTTTGGTTTTGTCTGGCACAGTGCTCAGTTCACATACTGGACACAAAGCTAAATCATGCTTAGTCCAGTCCTCAAGAAACTTATCCACCAGTGGGAGATACAGGCAAGTTTAAGTGATTAGAATGCACATAATGTGCTAATGGCCAGAAAAACCTCATTTACTGAGACCAAATAAGTACAAGTCACTGAGATGAGGAAGTGGGTAGATCAGATAAACATCCTGTTCACAATGAGCTCACATTGTAGGTAGAGGAATGTCCACAGACATCAATAAGTGTGATACAAGGCCAGCATGCTCTGGAACATGAGAATGTGCTGGCGCAATGGCATGAAAAGTCCACAGAAGAGAGGGCAATATGTTTGGCTAGAGAACAAGGTGAAACTTCATGGGCAGAGGCATTTCATCTGGCCAAAATGAAGGCTTGGGAATGACTGATACCTAAGCAGATACACAGTGAATTGCATTACCCCTGAGAGCCCTCATCCTATCTACACTGCAGAATTGGAAGATGTAATAGAGCCAGGACACAGGCAGTGAGGCAGGTGAAATGTCTAACCTGTGTGACCAGGAACACAGTCATGCCCTCAGCTAATCAGAGGTCTAAGTAGATGAGAAGGAGGGAGATCATCTCATTGGTCTGAGATACCATGAGTTTAAAGAGCCAAGGGCATCCACAAAGAAACGGGCATTCCAAACTCAGGACCTAAAGCTCTCATCTTGAGAGCCCTTCACCTCATGGAAGGGGGCAAAACTTGGGCATGGATGAGATACCTGTGAACTCAGCGAGGAATCGGTCAAGGGAAGGCTTCCAGGAGGAGGAGTGGACCTGCCTTCAAGCTGTGGGAAGAAGGAGTAATGGATATTCAGAAAGGTAGGATGAGTAGCAGTCTCCTAGGAGAGAAATTGCTGAATTTTCAAAAGGAGATGATCAGATATATTCAAAGGAGCCCTTTATCCAGACAGGTATGTATAGACCAATGAGAAGCTGCAGCTGACTTCTAGGGTCAGATTCATTGCAAAGACCCTAAACATCTGCCAAGCCCTTCCCCAAGTCCTACATAGGTCACTAAGTTCATCTAGAGTTTCTCCTTCCATGAGAAATAATGAAATGAAACCCTTTAGGACTAACCTTCAGGAGTAATTTCTTCAGGTTCCCAGCACATAGAGACTGTTATTCAACTCTTCACAGGCAACTCAGACATTCCCAATTCCTCTGGCCTTCTAGGGCCACCTTTTCCAAACGGCTCAGGCACCCATCACAAATAACAGAAAATCTAGCTCTTATCCCAACTGTTTAAGAAATATGGGATAAGGAGATTTGAAGTCCCCTGTGACTCTGAATTCCTTCCCTAATTGAATTCTCAAATCCCACTCAGTGCTCCAGCTGATGTAACGCCTGGGTCACTGTATGCCCATTTGCACTCCCGCCCCGTCATTTCTTCCCCCCAGCACTTCAAGGGAAAATTGTTTCTTACTCTGTGACAACTTCCCTCACTCCCTGTCTCCCCTGACCATGTCCGGCCGGGGACAGCATCACCTCCAGTTATCCATCAATGCATGGTCCTGAAGGAAAAAGTAATTCTTCCCTGGAAGAACCTCACCATTCCCAGCACAACCACCTGAAAATGCATCCAACTTTCAAAATAATATTTTCTCCCTCCTTTAGTAAAATGTTTATATTTTTGAAAAGACTGGTGGGCAGATCACGAGGTCAGCAGATTGAGACCATCCTGGCCAACGTGGTGAAACCCGGTCTCTACTAAAAATACAAAAATTAGCTAAGGGTGGTGGCACGTGCCTGTAATCCCAGCTACTTGGGCGGCTGAGACAGGAGAATCGCTTGAACCTGGGAGGCGGAAATTGCAGTGAGCCGAGGTCACGCCACTGCACTCCAGCCTGGGCGATAGAGCAAGACTCCATCTCCAAAACAACAACAACAACAACAACAACAAAAAAAACTGGCCTCCTGTTTCCCCCGGTGGCAGAAATACAGCACTTAGTTGGGGTACCTGGTTAAGTGGTTCTATATACTGCCTCCTCAACTGTCGGCCCCACGCCACCCTCCAATTTAAAAATGTTAAGCCCCACATGCTAAATGAGAGTCATCGTTTCCGAACACACCAGGATTGCTAGTAAATTCCTTGGAAATACAGGCTGTTAAATTAAGTTTAGCCTAAAGCCACATCCTTACATATTTTAAGTTCCGCCTAACGGTTTATTTGTACATAGTAAACTGTAACCTAACTGGATGTGTACATTGTAACTGCGTCTTATACCAATCACAGAGTTTTGGTCAATCACAGACAGCCAACTGTGTTCAAATAAGGCAAATTCCAGCTGTAACCAGTCCAGCTGTTTCTGTACCTCACTTTCGGTTTCTATTTGTCACTTTCCTTTTTCTGTCCATCGATGTTTTCTGACTGTGTGGCGGCCCTGGAGTCCCTCTGAACCTAATCTGGTTCTGGGGACAGTCTGATCTGTGAATTGTTCTTTGCTGAATTAAACTCTGTTAAATTGAATTTGTTTTATTAAAGTTTTTCCTTTAATAAAGCAAATAACTAACAGCGAAGAAGTAACAATTTACTGAGCACCATTGTGTATGGTTGTTTTGCATACTTTATCTCATTTTATAATGTGGCGTTATTAACGAACTAAAGATGGAAAGTCTAAGGAACACGACTAAATCCATAAGCCAGTAAGAGGCAGCAAGGGATTTGAATTCACATCTGTGTGACTCCAACATCCCGAGGACTTTAGCCAGGTCCAACACTGCTTTGTGCTTCCTATAGACTCAACCCTCCTCCCAAGGAATAGGATTCCAGGTGCTGGGCCCAGACTAGACTTCGGGGGACCAGAGATGGACCCAGGGGTGGGATAAGGCTCAAAGATCCATGGGTCTATGTCCTAGGGTGAGAAAGACTGAAAATTGGGGAAACAAATCACTCCAGAAGAGAAAGACAGAGAATGGAGTTTGGAGGCTTCACAATAGAAACCAGGACTTCTCGGCCAGAGCCAGAAGGGTCCCTGTCCAGGACTAGCAGTAAGCTTGGGATGGGCCCTGAGGGAAGTGTGACCCACAGGCACTTCTGCAGCTCCTCCCCTCCAGTCCATTAGTGGATTAAAAAATCTATATTCACTGCTGAAAGTTAGAAAACTCAGATAGATGAAAATAATACGCCCAGTGCGGTGGTTCATGTCTGTAATCCCAGTGCTTTGGGAGG